TTGGGTGGGACATCGCTGGCTTCGCAAGTCATGGTACAAATTTTCATATAAATTTTCATCGAAGAGGGCGAGATACTGACATGCCAATCTTTGAGCTTCTGGGTAGAGAATATTACCAGACATCCTTTGGCGAGAAGTACCTTCTACTCGTCCCTCTGGCAGTCCACAGTCTCTCAGGAATTGCCAAACGTGTAGTTGCGCCGTCTCCCCTTCGGCGACGCTTCACCAGCCTCCTCAGCCTCACAGCCTATGCGGCCTACGCGCTCTTCCTCCCAGTACACTTTATGACCCACCGCATATACCCCTCAGACCCCAACCCCCCAATATACGAGGTCGGACCGTCCGAGTTGGACTATGAGCTGGTAAAGGTGTCACTCCACACTTGGCCATGGCGAAGCTGGTTTCTATACACAGGCCTCACGCTATGCGTCGCTTGGCACGCTGCTGAGGGGGCACGGGTGATTTGGAACACGTCTTGGAGGGAGTATGGTGGCGGGTGGAAGGTGTCGACGAAACGAAGAGTGGTCGGGGCGACGCTTGCAATGCTTCCTGTGTTGTCCGGTGTGTTTTTCATATCTCGAGAGCCTGTTTACGCGTTCTCGACGTTGTCATCGCGCTTCCAACACGCGTTGTCCCAGTCGTTTTTCTATCGCTTGTGACGAATGACATGGGCGCCTATACTTTTCTTCAATAGCCTGGCCACGGAGTTGTGCAGTCTGAATCGCAATGGCCACGAGGAAACGAAGCATCTGGAGGCCCAGGCGTGGACCGAGGCTTCATCTTTCGCGATCCACGGTGTTTGCCCAAAAGGCAGCCACATTTACCCATTCCTTCAAAAACGGCCATTCGTCTCTCGTTTGCTTTACTCTTCCTCTTTTAAGCCTCTATAACCATCCCCGTATAATCTTGCCTACTTTTCCTCCGCTCCCCCTTTCTTCTACACATACTCCCGCCTCAGCCGCGATGAACCTCCACCTCGTCCCGAACGATCCTTCAAAGGCTGTCCTCATGTCTGACGATGGCGTCGTCCAATACCGCATCACCACGCGTCGCAAACACCTATTCTGCACCCCCGTGTGCCAGATCTTCCGCTCTCCTGCTCCGAGCAGACCGCCAACCGAGGACAGATTGGTTGCAGAGATCGAGTGGAAACGATGGTCGCACCCGATCGTGAGGAGCGACGTGTTTGACGGGACCATGCTTGAGATGGAGGTCAGGGAGTTTCTGTACAAGCTTGGACGGAAATTCAGCACGTGAGCTCCAGATCCTGGTGGAAACTTTTATTGAGGCTGACATGTCTCTCTTCGCAGTACCCGATATTTCCTGGGAAGCGACGACAAGGAGTACTGCTGGAAGGACATCAAAGGAGTCGCTCAGATCGTAGGTGCCCCCACTATCCACCTTGACTCGTCCTCACCCATTTCTACATTTTCAAGCTTACTGCGCGAGAATCTAAGGCCAACGTTGCTCGTTTCAGCTACCAAACCTCCCGCGCGGATCACTTCCCTACTCAAAAGCGATATTTCCTTCAGATTGAACCTACTACGCTCGATATCGACATGCTTGTCATCACTTTCATCATTATGGAGAAACGTCGTCGGGAGCGTGAAGCGCACCCTGACGGGGACGAAGCTCCGTTTGAGAGTGGATTCGACGGTGCTGTCGCAGCTTGATCTCGGTGTCGCTTGGTGGGAGGCGGGCGTGCGGACAATGGACAATGGACCTTGACTGTTGCTTTGTATTGTTTTCCGTGGGTATCATGTTGGTGGGTTTAATGTGGACTCGGACTGACGGCAGTTTTGTGGAGCCTGGGTCTGGTGGTCCTGTAATCTGGCTAGGATATAATCAAGAACATGATACGGTTTACAACCCCCTCTTCACATGACTCATCTCCAGGAAAGGCCTGCCTCAGTGCCTGGATCCAAGAAAACAAGCAAGCACCCCTTTGCCTGCGAAATCAAGAAAAACAACATCCAGGTCTTCTGCGTCGGACTATCGTCAGCCGCAAGACCCAGCCACGACCTGCAAACACAAGTCCTCCTCAGCCGACCATGCCTTTGCCTTGATGTACAAATTCCGATAGCTGTGAGAGAGGCTCCCTCCAATCAGCTCGCGATGTTCCCTCCTGAGCTCCTCCAACTCTCGAAAGAACTCCTCACGAGCATGTCTCAAGTTCTCCACCTCGCTCATATGCGCTTCTTCTGATCCCCTTCGCGATTGTCCGACCATACTCGCGGCGGGTTCTACATGCGGATCCCCCCTGGGACCTTCCTCTTCTTGAGCGGCCACTGGGTATTCCAGCCCGGTCTGAGACGGCTCGGGACTCACAGAGGAGGGTCGCACGCAAGACTTGGACCGGACCTTCTTCCTCTGCGAGCCCGTAGGCTCAGACTCCGCTGTCGCATATTCGCTCGGCGTTGATGGTGCTATAACGACAGACATCATCATTCTTGAACATCCCATTCCCTGGGATCATAATCTAGATGGCTGAACGAGGACTTACCCTTCCGTTTACGACTTGGGTACAAAGAGCATGTTCTGTGCGACTGATAACAGTAGTCGCATCGCATACTTTTGCTGCCTGATGTGGAGGCACAACTGGTTCCTCGCCGACTACAGACGGTGCAAGGTGGGTCGTTGATCTGGGTAACCTGTATCGTCTTCGATTTTTTCTCGTGCGTATCGGACTGATCTGCAAGACATGTTTCAGAAAGTTCAAGAGCTCGCACGCGAGTAGTTATTATTAATGTACGGGATGTGTTATCTTACCTTGCGAGCCCTCGTCTACACCTGATTTTGTATCAGCAGCGATATAAAACACGCCATACGATCCTGCTCTACCTGCAGTCGATGTCCGGATCATGATGTTGCGCAAACCACCATCCTCGACCTTTTGCACGATCGCTGCAAGGGCTTGGTCGTCAACATCCAAATGTGTGAAACCCCTAGCGTCACTGGAAGGCAGGAGAAGCTCTGCAGGTGAGATCGTCGTGCGAATTCCGATATTGTCACCACCACTTCCGTCTGCACCTGCGTCGATGTCCTGTTTGAAGCGAGACATGCCAGCAGATGTAGATGGAGGAGGGTGTGTGGGTGGTGTAAGATGAAGTAATTGAAGCAGTTGGAGACGAACAGCAACGATACCACTCGGTGCTGGAGATGACGGAGGTGAACCAATATGTCTCTGGAGGATGCCGTGGCTAAGCGAGACGGAGGGCGGAGAGGTTTAGGACTAGTCTCCCGACATGACAGTACTATCTCCGCTGCTACAACTCCTCGAAGCTCCAGCCCCACCAAGACAGTACTTTACTTGCCAGTGGGCTCCTACAAAGGGTCACTCTTTGACGTGAACTTTACTAGAAGACATATCGTTGGTGAGAGGTCTCGATCATCTAGTCGAGGCTACTATTACCCGCGGCTGGTGAGTAAATGGTAAGTCTCATTGTGAGGTACAACAGCAAGGTACATTGCTGTGAGTATAAGTAGAGAAGGACTTCGATCCCCAAGGTGTTATAGTTCACATACACCAAAAGTGAGGCTAGCCTGGAGAACCGAAAGCTTCTCCTCCATTACCTTCCGTTCAGCATCCCACCTCTTCTCCTTCTCCCTCATCTCACGGAGAAGAAGGTCCTCCCTCTCCATCATTTCCTGCTCTTTCCTCTTCATTTCCTCAAGAAAACGCACCTCCCTCTCTCTCATCTCCTTCTCCTTCCGAGCCATCTCCTCTTTTCTAGCCTCCTGCTCCCGCAATTTCTTGGCGAGAGCATGCTTATCATTCGCCAGCTCTTTGACCCTTTCCTTCAATGATACAACTTTAAGTTGCTGAATAGCAACATTTGCTACCACTTGGAAGGTCAGTACAAAGCTGTATCGACATTTGAATGTGCAATACCTTCTCTTCCCAGCCCAGTGGCTGCTGACTGCTTTCCTACTTGAGCGGCACGCCTCCGGTTCGAAGCTGTAGAACAAAGATTAAAACGGGATCACGGCTGTCAAATGACATAACCTCTTACGCTTGGAAAGCCCTACTTGCCCAGCGGCATCGTTCGTGGGCTCGAGGCCACGATTATTGCGGCGAGGAGCCAACAATGAATTCGCAACATCTCGCTTGTGTGCGGTACTATCTAAGGAAGCTACTAAAGAGACATTAAGTCCCTTGCCTAAATTGCAATCAGCTTAGGATGAACGACACGGGATGGGGACGTACTGGGGGAAATATCTGAGCGGAGTGTAGTCTGAGTTTGCGAGACGGTTATTCCATCTCTTTGAGAGACAAATCGTCCAGCTGTCGAATAGTCAAGTCAAGAAACACGTTCAACTTTGTACGGAGGCAGGAAGCATACTAGAATCATGCGGCCTATGTTCTTCCCTACGACCCACTCGTATAACACGCGTAGTCTGCGTTGATGCAAAGCCTCTCGTATTCTCCTTGCTTTCCGACTCATGTATGTCGAGACGTTTAGAACCGGAGCCATTATTGCGTGTCGAGCTGCGGTAGGCCGCTGCGAGCCGTTGCAACGGCGTCGCATTAGCAAGATCGTCATCCGAGTCCCCGTTTGAGTTATCAGAGCGAGACAGTTCGTCATATGCGTCGGGGTACATAGCAACAGCTGCGAGTGGAGAGGGTTTGTGGTGGAACTGGGATTTCCGAGTTTGCTTGGGACCGGGACGGCGGGAACCTCGGAAGGTAGGGAAGAGATGAGGAACTTGCTGTCTGAGAATTGAGGTCCGAGTTGGGTATTCTAGAGTGTCTATATCCCTGAGACAGCGCTAAGATTTCAGAAAGACATTCTCTGAGCGCATTATTCGGAGAGGGTGTTGGCCAATACGAACGCCGTCGATCTGCTGAACAACAGACTTGACCGAAAGGGAAATTAAGCATGGACGGTGATTGCCGATCTGGCCAGGCGCCTAATACTCAAATTCGCGATCCTCACATTTCGACGTATTTCGGAAACACACGTAGAATCAAAGTATGCCTTTTGAAAAAGTGTAAAAAGTGAGTCGGCCCAGGTTCGAACTGAGAACCTTCTGTGCACGTATCACGTGACTTGATGATCACATGATTGTGTTAGACAGATGCGATAACCAACTACGCCACCGACCCTTGTTATGTACATGTTTCGCATCATTATCTTCAAGTGGGCACTGAAGTAATTTGAGTAGTGAATCTGTTCAAGCTTTCCAGCAATGATCCGTTATAGCAGTCACGGCAATGAGGATGTAATGCAGCGAGAGAAAATCAAGAAATGTAAGAGGCAAAGCAATCCAAGAAATGTCAGTCCCGAGTTTGCTCAGTTCGCAACCCCACTGCGCTCCGAGTCTACAATACACTCTAACGTAGTCTTCAGCCTTGTCGTAACCAACAGTACCAGGTCAATATCCACCTGTGGAAAACCCTCAGATTCCCTCCCTAGGGTGTGATGCTTGACCACGTATCTCACAATCTCCTCCTCCGCGCTCCTTATCTTCTGATTAAGTTTCTCCATATTCGAGTTTAGCTTTTCTCGAGTTGTTTCGTCCAGGCCCGACTGCTGCTGAGCGCGTGCGCGAGTGTGGCCCAAGTGAACACGAAGCGCGCCGAGTTCCCGAATCATGCAGGACAACGCCAAATCCGCGCAGCGGTGCTGCCGTTCATACTCCACGACCTCGGCGGAGGCGGCCTCGATGAGCGACTGCGGATCGCCGCAGTATGAACGGTGCGCCGAGATAACGGTCTCACTAGCGATGGAACCCGCAGGCATTTCCTGCATACTGGGAGGCAGGGAGGGGCCTGAAGTACTGGCAGAACTTGCAGAGAGGCGAGGGCCTGCGCCAGAGGCCGTTGCCGCTGGGGTAGCCTGGGTGGACGTCTTTGCCCCCGTTGCTGAAATGGGTGGTGCTGAAACTGTAGATTGCCCCCGCCTGAAAGTGGGAATGGAAGAATCGTCGGAAGTTGAAACGATTTCATGGGAAGGAAAAGCTGAAGAGGTCGTGAAAGGTGACTTCAAGGTGTTCGAACTTGAAATGTTAGGCGATGTGATTCGTCCCTGCCACTGGTTTAAGGGACTCGGAGGTGATGTTTGCCGAACTGGCGTGATAGGGAAACGGCGAATAGAGTCATTGTGCTTGCCAGTGGTGCCCTTGGAGGTCATTGGAGCTACCTCTGGCGAGTCCGTTGGAGGAAGCAGAGAACTGGCTGTGGGCACGGGGCCCTTGAATTGGGTCGCTTCCGGGATCGACGAGTGCTCTACAGCGGCGTCAGCCAGCTTTGTTCCTTCAGCATTCAGGCTTGAAGGGATGATGGGCTTATGATCTTGACTATCTAGTTGGACTTGCAGAGGACTGCCTCTGCGAGATGGGCAATGATCTTCCTGATTTAGGTACGTTACCACACTCGATGATCTCGACCGGCTGAATATTTGGGGAATGCTGACAGCATGTGGACCTGGCAGTACATGGAGACGATCTGGATTCAAGTTGGCGCTATGACCATCGACCAAGGAACTCGCGTTAGACGGAGACGCGGGGGCACCTGGTAGTAGACTCGGTGACAGCTGAGTCTGCCTTGGTCGGTTGCGCGGCAGAGGCAGCATACTCGCCGACTTTGTGCTACCGCCCACCGGAGCTGAAAGGAGCAGCCTGAGTGAGCATGAATATCTCCACAAAACAGTGGATACTTGCCAACTTCGGAGTCGATCGCCATTAAAGTGGTAGGTGAGCTGAGAGGGAGACCGACCGTTTGAGGTCGGACATCCGATATCATTTCATGCTTTGTAGACCTACGTCTTGGAAGTGGAGGGTTGCGATTCTTCCACCAGGACCTCCTTGCTGTGCTTTGTTGTCTTCTTTTTCCCTCTGACTTTGTCGCACCCGGATCTCCGTCTGTCGTGAGATCGATAACGTTCTGGGTGACAGGGGGGGATAACTGCATACTACCCGTGAAAGCAATATCACCATCGTCATCAGAGACCATAGTTCGAGGTCGTTTCGAGGACTCTCTCTGCTCTCCTGCAAAGCCATGGCCTTCAGTTAATGCAAGCCGCTTACGTGGTAGAGAAAGGGGTAACAATTGCTTTGTGAGTGACTCTGGAGGAGCCGTATCATCATGCGAAGGGAACCCCGATTGCGGCCGAATGAGATATAACTTGAGTGCTGTTCAACAATAGGTTCATAGAGATTAATAGGGGCAGAAGCCAGGACGGCTTTCTTGAACACTTACTTTCAATGTTGGACATCGTCACTACACTATCACGAGAAGCGCAGTCCACAATCATCTTGTACGTCTGATTCAAAATCTCGACTACCTTGCCAATTGAATCATCATCGAGGTCGAAGTCTGTCATGAACCGATCACGATGAAGAGAAGCAGCTCTTGGTTTCGTAGACTGTACGAAGAAGTCAGTGCCAATTGCAGAGATAAGTCAATGTAATCAAACCTTCAGGATCGAGCACGTCCACCAGAAAATCCCGAGCGTAAGTATATCTCGGGTGAACATGGTGCGGCCATTCTGACATTGGCCGAAGATCAAGTCCATAAAGTCGCTCATAATCTTAGCTTCGTCCTTTCCGGGGTAGGGCCTATATTTTGCGCAAAGAGCGGTAAAGGAGGTTGTTTGCATGCTTTGAGTGAGATACAGGCGCGCAGCGCGGAATATTGGCTCGAACTCGGACTCAGTTCCTCCCGCGATCCATGCAGTTTCGTACGTAACGTCTAATCTGCCCAGGCTGAACGTAGACGTAGTGTAAAATATGCTGAAGAAGAAGATAACATGAACTCACGCCTGAGATGCAATGTAAGAGCAGATGCCCGGCAAATGTTTTCTGGCTTTCAGATCCTGAAACTCGGGACGGTCTTTGAGCATCTCATGGAGAGAAAGTGCTTTCTCCTGCACAACGCCGTCACTATGGCAGAGTGTTTTGATCATATCTGTAGCAGATCGCGAGCGCGACTGAGATGGAGTTGTTCGAAGAGAGCCTGAGGATCGACTCCAACTGGACGTGGATGGTTGACGGCTAGAGGGTGCTTGTCTAAACATCGACGCCGACAATGACACCATAACAAGTCACCTATGTCTGTTTTCCGATGTTCTCCTTGAGCCTGGTATGTTAGAACTTGTCCATTCGAGCTCGTCGTTGTCGACCATTATCGTCCTGAAGGACCTGCTAAAGCGCCCACGCGTTCCCCATTGGGATGAGCAGCATCCCAAGCGCCCACTGACTTGTCTCCTCCGGACTTGTTTCCCGACTTCGACCTTGCCCATAATCTTGAACGTTGCCGACCATGTCTGCATGCAGAGCAGCTGCTCGTATTAGCTGCAATGCTGGAGCTAGAAGAAGTGCGTACTCCGCACAATGTTTTACTACCCGCCAGCTGACCTTATGCTAAGTGCTTCATGCGTCTGCGACACGTCGAGCTGTAACGCAGCTGCAGATGCCTGCATTGTCTCCTACAATGACTCAGGGTGGAGTATCTATTTGGAAAAAGAAGGAGGGAGAGTCATTCTCAACGGGAGACGTTCTTCTTGAAATTGTGCGTTGTGTCATGAATTCATTATGTGCCTTGCTGACATAGGAAGTTCGTCTTTACAGGAGACCGACAAGGCGACGTTGGACCTCGATGCGCAAGAAGACGGGATTCTGGCGAAGATTCTTGTACGTTCAAGTCTGACTCCCTGACTCCCGTTCCTCAGGAATAACGACAAGTGACCCATAGGTACCTGAAGGTGCAAAGAATATTGCAGTCGGCTCGCCAATTGCTCTCTTGGCGGAGGAAGGAGACGACCTCTCGAACCTCGAGATTCCCAAGGAAGCTCTGACAAAATCTGCCCCAGAGCCCCAACAACAATCGCCCCCACCTTCCTCCGCCGTGACAGAACCGACACCCGCCCATTCCGAGGCTCACGCGCACCCAAAGTCCTCCCGACCACTTTTCCCATCCGTGTTGCGTCTCTTGACGGAGAACGGCATCAGCGAGGCCGACAAGATCAAAGGGACAGGCGTGCGGGGTATGATCACGAAGGGAGACGTGTTGACGTTCTTGGGCAAGGCAAGTGGACCGTTGGGCACCTACCAAGCTCTCTTGGACAAGGAGGCGAAAGAGAAGGCAGCGGGCGCAAAGGCCACTGGTGGTGGTGCGAAGGTGGAGAAAAAGCCTGAACCTCTAGACGGACCGAGCTTGAGAAGGGCGATTGTGACGAGCATGCTGGACGCGAGCATAAAGGCCCGAAACCCGCCACGTGCGTATGACCTTCGTCCACTTCTGTCTTGAGCTGACCATGCGTCCATTTAGCTCCTAAAACGCGCCTGGATTTCGACGCTGTTCTTGCCGACTACCTCCCCAAATCCTGCCCTCCGCCATCCTCGCCTGCACCTCTTCCCATTCCTACTAAAACGCCAGGCACCGCTTCCTACTTAGACGGATTGTTTTAATGTCTACTGCACTCGTTAATGTTCTCGCCTGCGGGATTTATATGGAATAGACGATACGCTACTCACTCCTCTTTACGTGTGGGGCAGATCCCTGGCTCTCGACATAGTTTCAGTCTCGTTGCGTCCCCGTTCACTGACCGCCATGCTTTATTGCACAAGAGCGGTATTATGGCTATGTACTACACTAATACAACCGTTCACCGCGATGAAGAAGCTGAAGATACTGATACAAGTTCGAACATGAGGATAGAGAAGAAGGAATAAAATAAGGGTACGAAGGATGGAAGGAGAGCAGGCAGAGCAACAGAATTCACAGCGTGCGTCACGATGGTGAAGAGTCAGGGAGGAGTATACAGTGGCAATCTAACATGACAACGTCGGGGAGAATGATCAAAGTCATCGTGGAGGCATCAAAAATGAACTCCCGCTGCTCGGGCTGGCGGAGGGGCTGAACCTGAACATACCGATGGTGTTCCCAAATCCTGCCGCGCAGAACGTTCGGTCGCCAATGAATGGTGACACTCGCGTAAAATGCAGTCTGGGAATTGCGTTGGTCAACGGTAAAGCTTTGGGACTCGGACGAGTTTGTGGTATGTGACGTGCGGCTGTCCCAGTGGTAGTGGAGGAAGATACCGAGGAAGAGTGTCCGGTGTTGAGCTTCGGTGGCACTTTGGCTGGCGAAGGAGAGGGAGATGA